GTTTTAACACGTTCGTTTTCGGTTCGTTTTTTGCTCGTTTTTGGCGTGTTTTTGGCTCGTTTTTGGCGCGTTTTCGGCTCGTTTTTGGATCTTTTTTGGCTCGTTTTTTGTTCGTTTTTGCATATATTTTCACTCAGGGTGAAAATTTGGCTTTGTGTAGAAAGGCAAATATTAAGAATATTCAAAATATGCTTGTCTAACACTATATATATTAAACATCAAATCAAATCAAATCATCTATCTCTATCTATCTAGAGGTAAAAGGTTCCCTGGAAGAAACGAGTAAGAGCTCCAAGAACACAATCAGCTGTTTCCAATCAAGGGAAATCTAACTGACGCGGCCCGCCCTACTGAACTTCTGACCTACTAACTTTCCGACCTACCGCAATATCAGGCCTTCGCCAGCTGTTTAGTTTTGTATTATTTAAGGGTTAGGTTAGTTTAAGACAATTTCTGGGCCAAGCGCTGCGGCAAGGACAGATAGGAGACGAGCGCCGCTGCTAGGACAGGCTAGGGGGCCGGGTGCTGTGGCCACAAGTCCATTTAGCACCTGTAAAACCACGTGCTAGGAGGTCGGATGTGTAGCATAGCGGATTTGGCGTAGGTCAGAAGTGGAGTATAGTAGATTTGCGAAGGTCGAAAAATACACCACGCCCAAATTAAAAATATGCTTCATTTAAAAAAGCATTTTTTGCCAGGAATAATTTTTTAAACATGTTATTAGGTAACTCGTAGTTTGGATGATACTACTCCATTGAAGGTTAAATCAATCAACTAATCAATTATTTCACGTGTGCTTTCAATGCTCAACGCGGCACTTACGCGTTTTTTTTTAATTGAAAACAAATTTTAACATTTCGATTTTCCTTTTTTTTTTGGACGTAATCTCAAGAGTATTTCAACAATTTCAGCAAATTAAATAGAATATGAGGAAAAGGACATTTTTATCTAAACTTTATATTTTTATGATAGACCTGTATAAAACAAACAAACATATATTATTCCGTGTTAAAATTTTTATTTCAGAACTCGTGAAATAAATCGTAATAATAGGGTATCACTGTCTACTATATAGCAGACATATATACCATTTCATAATCTTACCAGCTCTCGCCGGTACCCTAAGTGATATCCATTAGAAAATGTCCGGACCCTGTAGATTAGAGCAGTTCAGTCTTAATACTGCTCTGATTAAAACACTAAGTTTATGCAATGTACTTATTTTCAGTCGGATAAGATGGCTCTAGCTGAACCAAGACGTCGGACCAAATGGACCCTAAATCCACGGGGAAACATCTGGGCCAACGACACAAATAAGTTTGGACAAAAACTTATGGAGAAAATGGGCTGGGAACAAGGAAAGGTGGGCTTTGGGCTTGAAAGCTTGAAATATCAGGAGTTGGGGTAACTTCATAGAGAATGAGTTTTTTCATGATCTCTTTCATCTCGATCAACTTTCTCAACTTTCTTAGATTTTATAAATTCATTTCTACTTTTCTATCTTATCTCATCACTTCGTCTGCATATCTATTTATCTCCTATCTGTCCTTTTGTCTAACTATCTCCTAGCTATTTATATAAATATCTATCCTACTGATACATCCATCTATCTTTCTTTATTTTTTAACTATCTTTTCTATTTATCTCTTATCTATCTTTCTCTATTCATCTTTATATATCTATCTTTAACTCTCTTTCTATCATATATCTATCTATATATATCTATTTTTAACCATCTATCTATCTATACCTATCTTTATCTTTCTTTTTACCTATCTAGTTACTTTATCTATCAATCTATTTTATCTTTCAATCTATATCTATATATATCTATCTATCTATCCATCTATCTATCTATCTATCTATCTATCAAGGGCCTGGGAGCTAACCAAGATGGAAGAATTGCCCCTGTAACATTAAGGCATAAAGACGACGCTAAAGGAATCGGTTTCCAGGGACACGACGATACTTGGCTCGCTCATCAGGACGATTTCCAGGTCAGATGACTAAACAAATAAGGACGTTGGGGGCGGAAACGTCATGTGTGTGTGTCTGTACCAAAAGAGTGTGTGTAAAGTTTACGTCGTACCGAAGGTGTGTACTGTAGGTTTATACAGTACGTAAGAATCTCAGTATTTTTACAATCTAGGAGAGTACATCTGTTTATTGTTAATTGTTTACTAAAAACTAAGTTTAATATGCATGTAATATATTATTTACATATTTAAGGCAACACTATAAAGCCAAGTTTTCATGCAAAGAATATAATTTGATTAAAGTTTACAATAAACTCCTAGTTATTCAAGTTTAATTATAATTAACGACATTGTTCTGCAATTTCCTTGACTGTATTCATGTTGTGTGTCTGTACCAAAATAGTGTGTGTAAAGTTTTCCGTACTGGTCTGCAAAGCAGTGCGACTGGCTTTCTCATGCCGGACCAGCGCCATTTCCTTTCCCTTTATTCCTATTCCCTGGGTGTATAGGATGAATCATAACAAAAGCAAATTTTTAAGGACTATTAAATACATTTACCAAATACGAATGAACAGATATAAGCTCTTGTATTTTTAAAAGTATATTTTTTAAATTAAAATTTCTATTTAGGCGGTTTTGGCAGCTTTAAACTCTGAGCATGGTACTGCGACTGAGAGTGGAGAAAATACGGGTAAATGTTAAAAGAGGGAATCCGTTATTTGAAGATGCCGACACAGCATCTTGCAGAAAGATAAATATTTAAACTATTCCATGAAGTTCAGACGAGAAAAAAATCCGACATGAAGAACTTCTTTCGTTCATTCTTCAAAGTCAATTATTTTCTTCACCATAATCAATAAAATGATAATATTCATATTGGGACATGCATATATCGGCGTTTTGACCAAATAAGCTATACATATATCCATTCATCTATCCATATAATAATATATCCATCTGCCTATCTATCTATCTATCTAGAGGTAAAAGGTTCCCTGGAAGAGACGAATAAGAACTCTAATAAGCGTGTTCACTATCTCTATCTACCTATCTATCTATCTATATATCTATCTATCTATCTATCTATCTATCTATCTATCTATATCTATTTATCTATCTCTATCTATCTAGAGGTAAAAGGTTCCCTGGAAGAAACGAGTAAGAGCTCCAAGAAGCGTGTTCATTATCAGAAGTTTACCCGGGGAAAAGACCTCAAAAATTATTCAGCTGGTAAGTACAGGGTGCCCCAATAAACATTGGATTGGTGTTGATTTGAAAATAATATTAATGTTTGTCTCTATAAATGATTTCATGGTTGTCTTCTTTTAAATAATTTCAAGGTCGTGCTTTAAAATGATTTTTATTTAGTATTATCAATATTATTAAATGGCGAAACATGGTGGGAAAGCTGTAAACTAAATAAGTTAGAAATTTGTTGTTGTACTTAGTAAATTGAAAATTCCAAATTTGGTGATTTCTCTCTTTCTCATCGATTAGTATACAGAGAAAAGATATGGCTTAGAATTATACGAGTTAAAAGAGGCTGAATTTTTTTCAGAACTATTTGACATTTTAAAACTTTTATTGCTTGAAGAACAAATGTGATAATTCTGGACAAAGACGATCTTGAAATATCAGTTAATTCCCATGTTTATTGCTTAATTCCCATGTTTATTGCTTAATTCCCTTGTTTACTGCTTTATTCCCATGTATATTGCATGATTCCCATGTTTATTGCTTGATTCCCATGTATATTGCTTGATTTCAATGTATATTGTTTAATTCCCAAGGTTATAGCTTGATTCCTATGTATATTGCTTGATTTCAATGTATATTGTTTAATTCCCAAGCTTATTGCTTCATTCCCATGTTTATTGCTTGATTCCCATGCATATTGCTTGATTCCAATGTATATTGCTTGATTTCAATGTATATTGTTTAATTCCCTTGTTTATTGCTTTATTCCCATGATTATTGCTTAAATCCCATGTTTATTGCTCGATTCCCATGTATACTGTTTAATTCCCATGTATGTTCCTTGATTTCCATGTATATTGCTTGATTCCCATGCATATTGCTTAATTCACATATATACTGCTTAATTCCCATGTATACTGCTAAATTCCCATGTATAATGCTTGATTCCCGTGTACATTGCTTTATTCTCCTTTATATTGCTTGATTCCCATGTATATTGCTGGATTGTCTTGCATATTGCTTGATCTCAATGTATATTGCTTAATTTCCAAGTTTATTGCTTGATTCCCATGTTTATTGCTTGATTCCCATGAAAATTGCTTGATTAACATGTTTATTGGTAAAATCCCATGTTTAGTGCTTTATTCCCATGTTTAATGCTTTATTCCCATGTATACTGCTAAATTCCCATGTATAATGCTTGATTCCCGTGTACATTGCTTGATTCTCCTTTATATTGCTTGATTCCCATGTATATTGCTTGATTGTCATGCATATTGCTTGATCTCAATATATATTGCTCAATTCCCAAGTTTATTGCTTGATTCTCATGTTTATTGCTTAAATCCCATGTTTATCGCTTTATTCCCATGTTTATTGCTTAATTCCCATGTATATTGATTAATAAAACCAACATTCAGATTTATAAAACTAAATGATACAAAACTAAGTAAACGAACGCTAATTTATGCATTAATAAACTAAAATTACTTTTTAGTCTTGACATTATGAATCAAAAGAAATTTGACCATTGAAATATCAGAAAATAAGAATATCACAAATTCAAGTAAAAAGTTCTACATTGTATTGGTTCCTTCTCAGGAGGAGACAGTTTAATCGTATATTTGTTTATTGGTAAGTTTGGCCTTTTTTTTATAATTTATCGAACTTAAACTTTAGATGATCTTGGTTGTATTCTTGGAACCAAATCAGAGAAAAGAAAGAGCAAAAAGCGAGAAAAAGAAGGAGCTAAAGGTATTTTTACAAAAAACAAAACCAAATTTTTTTCCTGTCATGAATATATAATATATATTTATTAGAAAATTCTCCCCTCCTCGAAACATACATTTTTAATAACTTAACTTTAAAAACTTAACCTTTTTTTTTCTTTGATAGATTTTCTGGGAATTCAATGATTTTTGTCAAAAAGATAAAAAATTTGGAAATTATGCTAAATAATGAAACATTTTTTTTACGGAAATTTAACAGTAGAATAATCTTCTTCTTAAATTTTTTAATAAATACCTTTGTATTCAATGTCCAGTCAGGGATGTGCATTCTTTTTTAAATATCACCCCCCACAGTTTGGAAATCATTTTTTTTTCTCCAGAGTATTTTTTAGGGTTATATTAGCTGACTTTGGGGAAATTAATCATATTTTTAGGGAAAAATTATAATAAATGAATATTTTGGGGGAAAATAGCAAAAAAGATCGAAAAAACTTGCCTTTTGATGTTCAATTTTTCATTTCCCCCCCCCCCTCCATTTTGAAAAATTGTATACCCCCTGTATTCAGCTACGGAGGTTGCTGAAACTGAAGTTGGAAAAGAAGAGAAATCCCATGGTCTCGTCACAATTCAGGTTTTTCATTACACTTTTTTCACTCTTTGGACTGTTAAAAAATGGGAAAAAGAACCAAAATTTTACCGTTTTAACACGTTCGTTTTCGGTTCGTTTTTTGCTCGTTTTTGGCGTGTTTTTGGCTCGTTTTTGGCGCGTTTTCGGCTCGTTTTTGGATCTTTTTTGGCTCGTTTTTTGTTCGTTTTTGCATATATTTTCACTCAGGGTGTAGAAAGGCAAATATTAAGAATATTCAAAATATGCTTGTCTAACACTATATATATTAAACATATGCAAAACCTAACCATTTTAACACGTTCGTTTTTGGTTCGTTTTTGCATATATTTTCAGTCAGGGTCAAAATTTGGCTTTGTGTAGGAAAGGCAAAACCGAACCAACAACTATTTCTATTTTAGGGTGGAAACTATCAAGATTATTTTAAAAAGAAAATGGCGGACCTGAGAGCACGTGGGAAATCCACTTACACTCCTCCAGGTAAAAATAATTCAAATAAGATTGTTGATTTTCAAACAAATACTTTTCAAACTAGATGAGGCTCTAATAGTCATTTATTTTCTTCTCTTAATTTTCAACTAAACTTATTTTAGTGTCTGATCTGATCCAGGACGAGGGAGAGGAGGAAGAGGATGCTGAACCTAAGATGGTCGGGTTCAAGACGGAATCCGAGATAGAGAACATGGAGGAGTTGAACACTCTTCAGCCAGAGAAGAAGAAGAAGAAAAAGAAATCTAAATCAAAAGACAAGGAAGAAGAGACAACAGGGGAACCAGAGAAGAAAAAGAAAAGAAAAAACTTAGAAGAAGAAGTGATTGTGGAAGAGAAGAAGTCAAAGAAGAAAAAGAAAAAGGACAGCAAAGAAAGTGATCAAACTGATGAGTTAAATGAAGAAAATGATGAAAAAGAAACTGAGAAAACTAAGAAAAAGAAGAACAAGAAAGGAAAGAAGGAGAAAACAGACGAAGTGAACGAAGAAAAAGAAACTGACAGCGGTTGCGAAGAAGAGGAGATGAAACAGAAGAAGAAAAAGAAAGGAAAGAAAGAAAAATTAGAAAAAGACTCCAACGAAAAAAAACGAAAAGCCGAAGATACTCCTGAAAATATGGCGGAAATGAAAAAGAAAAAATCCGTGGAAAGTAAAAATGAAAATGCGTCAAAAGTAGATCCTAATCTTGGATCAACACGATCCAATCTATTAGCTATGGCAGGATATGGAATCTAACCTTTCCTTTAAACATCTCATCAGAGCATTTTTGTGAAATTTACAAGGTTTCCATCTTTTTTCTTGTTAAATCTAGATTTTTATTTCAGATATAATGTGCTAAGCGTTAGAACTTTTTTGTGAATTCTGCTACGAATGGGAACTTACATACAGGTAGTGTAAAAAGAAAAAGTTAATTCCATCCCACCCCCACTCCCTAATGATCATTTTTCTGTTTTATCAGAGAGTCAATATGCAAATAAACGAAGCACAAAATTTGGACTTTTAAATTTGTAACTCTTGCATAAAAAAATTTTAAAAAATGACTTTTTGCATAAACTGTTAAAAATGTTTATTTTGGAAGATTTAAAACGTGTTCGGTTTGATTTCTGTTTGGGTACAAATCGACATGAAAAGTTTCGGAAAGAGGAAATAATTTCCTTTTCATATTTTCCACTCAAACTGAAAACTAATTCATTTAAATTAATTTAGAAAGAAATGACTGATGATCCGATTGAAAAAGAAAAAAAGAAGAAGAAGAACAAGAAATCCAAATTGGAGGATATAGTTGAGAATATAATTATGGATGAACCGGAGAGGAAGAAGAAGAAGAAAAAGAAAAGCAAAGAAGATGAAAAGGAAAGCATAAAACCTCAAGTAAAAGAAGAAATAACCGAAGATCAACCTAAAAAGAAGAAAAGGAAGAAGAAAGAAGATGATAAAGACAGTATAGTTCCTCCAGTTCAAGAAGAAATAATCGTAGATCCGCCTAAAAAGAAGAAAAAGAAAAAGAAAGAAGATGAAAAAGAAAGCGTAGCTACTCTTGTTAAAGAAGAAATAATAGAAGAACAGACACAAAAGAAGAAGAAGAAGAAGAAAGAAGATGAAAAAGACAGTATAGTTCCTCCAGTTCAAGAAGATATGATAGAAGAACAGACACAAAAGAAGAAGAAGAAGAAAGAAGATGAAAAAGAAAGCATAGCTCCTATAGTTAAAGAAGAAATGATAGGAGAGCAGACAAGAAAGAAGAAAAAGAAGAAGAAAAGTAAAAGTGAGGAAAACCCAGAAATCAAGGAAGAAATTGTCCAAGAAGATGATATTAAAAAATGTTTGCCAGCAGCTGAAAGTGGTAGTCCTGACAAATCAATAAAGAAGAAAAAAAAGAAGGACAAGAAAGACGTTGGCGAGGGGAAACGGAAACCGGAAGAAGCTCCGGAACCGGAAGTAAAAACTAAGAAGCATAAACCTAATAATCCAGTGTTTGATAAAGAATCTGTTATGGTAAAGCATTTAGGATTTCCCGGAGCAAATATTCTTAACATTCCGGGATATGGACATTAGTAACATTTTAACCAGAATGGAAAATTTTGAAAATTCTTATTTCTTACAACTTTTTTTTCAGATCATTAAAATGCACTAGAAAATGGGTTCTTACAAGGTGAGATCTTCTCAATTTACAGGGTTATTTTTACCTTTTTTTTAAACGTTCAAAATATCCGTATTTTTTCCTGATTGAGGTGAATAATTAACAAAACTTTTTGTACAAATATTCCTCACGTTTTTGTGAAAATATCCCTTGCGTTTTAGTGAAAATATCCCTTGCGTTTTAGTGAAAATATCCCTTGCACTTTAGTGAAAACATCCCTTGCGTTTTAGTGAAAATATTCCTTGCGCTTTAGTGAAAATATCCCTTGCGTTTTATTGAAAATATCCCTCGCGTTTTTGCCTAATTGAATTAAAAGATGCGTCTTTCTTATTTTTTAGGAATAGTTGTACAAGCAGATGGTTATTATAGTATCGATACCAATATGCTGGAAATTTAATCCAATATTTTAAAACCAATTTCGGCGGCCTTTATATTTTCTAAAATGAACAGCAAACATTTTTTTATTTAAAGGTCGTCTGTAATCAAAGGTTTTATAAAGTTCCCGATATTCAATTTGAAGGGTGTCCCAATAAACATGGAAATGAAGAAACGACTTTAAAGTCGTTATTGGTTTCCAATAGCTGAAAAATTCAAAAAATAGATGATACAATATGCGTTTTATGTGTTTTCCAAAACATCTGACGGACATCTTAACAATTATTTTTTTATGAAATTAGTAATTACACATTATCCCCGTTATTGAAGGTGCAAAAATAGTAGTCAACATTTTAGAAATTCCAAGTCATTTTTGGTGGAATACCACTACTATTGTGTTCACGAAATAATGCTCCGGGAAGCAAATGTATATTGGGACACCCTGTATGATGGGCTGGGTTTTGATCTTTGATTAGTTTATTTAAGATACGTGTATTTTCTAATAATTGAACACACCCTTACAAAGATTGAGGTGAGGATTACAAATTTATTCAACTTTCTATTTGTTTTAGAATGATTTGCGGGACACGGTACATTTCAAGGTAAATAACAGTATCAAATTTTCCCTAAAGGAAGTGTATGGAATTTATGTATTTATTTTTTGTGTACTTTTCGGGATGCAATACAGTTTAATTTTTATACTTATGTGAATAATTTTTTTTTGAGTTAAGTCTAATTTAAATACTAGAAAAATCTAAGCTTTTAAGTTGGCGTCTCTTGTCGACTTCTTCAGAGTTAATGCAATGGATGAGATCTAAATGACGACCCAAACATCTTGACCTTTTGACCTGAAGAGTAAAATCTATCTTCTGCCTCGAATATAGTATTTTAATGGCTCACTGCATGTTCTGACAAAGAAAGTAGCTAAGTTTGACCTGCAGGGAACTATAAAAAAGAAAAAGGACTAACAATCTTCCCTACAGTCGTTTCTGAAGTCTCATCCTTTGTGAATAACCTTGTTGTATAAAGTTATAAACGCTAAAGGTAGGAGGGGTTAGGTTCTTTACACTTTTACTTTTCGCATTTGGACAGCTCAGGAACTGGTTTTAGGTATACATAAGCAACTTTAAACCTTTTAGATCTCTTTTGATAAAACTAACTCCTATGAGCCTAAAGATGTCATAGTTAGACGTCTACGCAAACCCTTTAATACTTACCCTTAGTATACACACACCTCAAGCATGTTATTATCTTCATTAAAGGGACTGTAAGTGTGATTTTAAGTGAGTTGTTATGCAAAGATGTCAATTCCCGATACACAACGATGCCCTTAGGAGCATTGTCTGATTAAGAATAAACTAGATGTCAATGTTTTTAATTTTCAAAATTGATTATTTTTAATTATGGTTTCTTTACAAAAAAAAACATATAGAAATTGTCAGAATTAAACACTTTTCATCCTATAAAACCGGCAATATCTTCCATATTATTGATGAGATAAAGGTTTCAAAGGTACCATTGTGAATCAAGCATTGCCATAAAGGGTGACTTGAAATTGTGCTTGCAGTCCCTTCAAGCATGATTTTTGTTCTACGAATTTGCAAAATTACAGTCTGAGCGTGTACAGGTCAGATTATACAGTACTATTACTGATCATGTTGTACAAATATAAAATTACAGTCTGAGCGTGTACAGGTCAGATTATACAGTACTATTACTGATCATGTTGTACAAATATAAAATTACAGTCTGAGCGTGTACAGTTCAGATTATACAGTCTGAGCGTGTACAGTTCAGATTATACAGTATTATTACTGATCATGTTGTACAAATATAAAATTCCAGGCTGGGCGTTTACAGTTCAGATTATACAGTATTATTACTGATCATGTTGTACAAATATAAAATTACAGTCTGAGTGTGTACAGTTCAGATTATACAGTATTATTACTGATCATGTTGTACAAATATAAAATTACAGTCTGAGCGTGTAAAGGTCAGATTATATTATTACTGATCATGTTGTACAAATATAAAATTCTAGGCTGGGTGTATACAGTTCAGATTGTACATTATCACTACTTTACTGATCATAGTTGTTGTTGTACAAATATTACATTACAGGCTGATCGTGTACAGTTCAGATTGTACAGTAAAGAGGAAATCCTCAAATTATCTGTCGTTGAAATCTTTAATCCAGCCGCCTTCAACCAACTAGGTAAATTCTTTTCTTCGACTTCATTTAAGAAGTGTCATTGACCAACTTACACATATCAATGATCTAAATATCAACCTGTTTCTTCTTGACAGTGCTCAGGAATCAGGATCCGGATCCGCTAAAATATGCGGCTCCACTGTGAATTAAAGAGAGACTATAAAACTTTTCTAGTTCTCTGGATGGTTCATCAAGTGTTAGCATAATAATAAGCAAAAAAAGATGAAAATTAATTTGACAATTCTGTTTTGTTAAAAAAATCAGTAAATCTTAAAGAAATGTTCATGGCCCAGATCCGGATCCTTTTATTTGCATTGCTGATCCAGGATTCGGATCCGCATCATAATTAAATAGGTCCTAAGCACTGCAGTTCTTGGAAGTGAGGACGCAATTTTGATAACTCCAGTTCAAAAGTATACGATTCGTGTTGGTAGATTAAACTATATGCTTTTAATATAACCCCCCCCCCCCCGGATCAAAAATTACGTATTGAAATTACTTTTTTCAATTTTGATTACGTCTGGGGGTTCCATGTCGGGTTCCAGATCTACTAATTATTTCTTATTTCTTACTTGTGGATTTAAGCTGTAGAGACAAAAATTTAAGACTATTTTAAATATATAAAACAAAGTTTTTGTTTATTAAAACTCATACACAATTTTAAAGATAATCATTGTGAATAATGGTTGGTTGGTTGGTTGGTTGGTTAATTGATTGATTGATTGATTGATTGATTGATTGATTGATTAATGATTGATCGGTTATTTTTAGGCCATCCTTTGGACAATGGGCTGTACGACCTCAAAATGGGACCGTTCTCCGACAGGAACATATTTACATACGATTTATTTTACCATATATAATAATATTTGGTTTATTTATTAAAAATACTTATTTTTTTCTTTCCACAGTCAACATTTCTTAATAATAGATTTTTTTAAAACTGTTGATTTTAAAAATCAATTTAAAAAAAATTTTAATTTTCTTTTATTGATAGATAAACATGGCCAGTGTTGTGGAACCCATTTTATTTAAATCACTCCTCTTTCACTTAAAAATAAGTCTTAATTTCAATCGCCGATTTTTATCTGGGAGCGTGAACCCCTTTTTGGCTAAAAAGAATATTTAACAGAAAAAAGATTAATTTTTTTTCTTGTCTTAATTGTTAGAAGAATGTTCTCGTTTTTGTTTTTGCAGTCTTCATGTTTTCTTATATTCTATGAACTAAAGATTTCATGAAACGAGTTATTTCTTCATTCTTTCCTAAACATTTTTACGGCGTCTTGAATGTAAGCTATTTATATCACTACTGTAAGGACAGATAGTTAGAATGTTCTAAACCCATCTTTTTCCATGTGTGAGGGTGAACCCCTTTTTTGCCGTTAAGGACGATTTACAGATTTTAACAGATTTGTTTATTTCTAAAATAAATATGTACGGTGTACTGCAGGAACCTGGTTGTCTGTGGTACATGCCACTTACAGGCAGAATTTTGCCCAGGTAAACATGTTACGTATATATTGTTTTTTTATACATATTCCTAAAACATCTCCCCATTTTGAATAAAAATTCCCCATGATGCTGGAAACATTCCTGCGAAGTGGTATATTTTTTTCCCCAATTTGGGGAAATTTAAGGATTTTATAGGAAATAAAGGATTTTTGGATACAAAAAACTTATTTTCGGGTTAAAAGTTTCAAAAAAGAGGGGAAAATGATGACTCTTGTACATATACATACGCGGGGTATTTTTTTTATGGGGAAAATAATTTATCTTAAGGGAAAATGTATGCATTTTTGGGTATCGGGTATAAAAGGGGGGGGGGGCTAATTAGTCAAATATGTGTAAATCGAAGAAGGGAGGTAATCTAGTAATTTAATCATTTATTTAGGACATATTGGACATATAGCTCTCCCTATGCCAGCTGTGAATCCACTCTTCTATGCAAATATTCAAAAAGTTCTTAAGATTTCATGCATTCATTGCCATAGGTAAGCAGATGAACTTGCAGACAAAATATACAAACATAAACATATCTAATAGAACAGATCAAATAGACAAATAAACAGATACAATAAACAAATAAACAGATACAATAAACAAGTAAACAGATAAAATATACAAATATAAACATATCTAATATAACTGATACAAAAAACAAATAAACAGATACAGTAAACAAGTAAACAAATAAAATATACAAATATAAACATATCTAATAGAACTGATACAAAAAACAAATAAACAGATACAGTAAACAAGTAAACAGATAAAATATACAAATATAAACATATCTAATATAACTGATACAAAAAACAAATAAACAGATACAGTAAACAAGTAAACAGTTAAAATAGACAAAACGTTGAGATAAAATAGACTAATGACTGATGAAAGAGAATATCCGACACTTTTTATTTGACTCTTAAGGTGTTTTGATTGATTTCCTAAAAATGGTTTTCCTCGTTTACATGTTATTTGACCACCTACACGTGATATTTGACCTCAACACGTGGCATTTGACCATCTACATGTGGTATTTGACCTCCTACACATGGTATTTGACCTCCTACACTTGGTATTTAACCTACACGTGGTATTTGACATCCTACATGTGGTATTTGACCTACACGTGGTATATGCCCACCTACATGTGGTATTTGACCTCCTACACATGTTATTTGACCTCCTACACGTGGTATTTAACCTACACTTGGTATTTGACATCCTACATGTGGTATTTGACCTCCTACACGTGGCATTTGACCTCCTACACGTGGTATTTGACCTCCTACACGTGATATTTGACATCGTACATGTGGTATTTGACCTACACGTGGTATATGCCCACCTACATGTGGTATTTGATCTCCTACACATGTTATTTGACCTCCTACACGTGGTATTTAACCTACACTTGGTATTTGACATCCTACGTGTGGTAGTTGACCTCCTACACGTGGTATTTGACCTCCTACACGTGGTATTTGACCTCCTACACGTGATATTTGACCTCCTTCATGTGGTATTTGACCTTCAGGCGTTATTTAACTTCATACAGGTGACTTATGTCACGTGGTATTTGACCTCCTAGACATGTTATTTTTACTTCCTACACATGTTATTTGACCTCTTAGACATGTTATTTGACCGCCTACAGTTGGTATTTGACCTGTATCACGCGGTATTTTACCTCTGTCATTTGATATTTTTTTATTTCCTACACATGTTATTTGCCCTCTTACAGGTGGTATTTGACCACCTACGCGTGTTATTTGACCTCCAACAGGTGTTATTTAACCTACACATGTTATTTGACCTCCTACGCGTGATACTTGACGTCCTACGCTTGGTATTTGACCTCATATGTGTGGTGTATTTAACCTCCTACACATGTTATTTGACCTTCTTAAAATTTTATTTGACCTAGACATGTTATTTGACCTCCTACATGTGGTATTTGACCTCTGTCACGTGGTATTTGGCTTCTGTTACGTGGAATTTGACTTATGTCACGTGATATTTGACCTCCTAAGCACGTTATTTGACCTACACGCAGTATTTGACCTCTTTCATGTGTTAAAAGGTTCAAGATGGCCGAATGCTTCAAGACGATGTTCCAAGGACAAATGAAGCTACTTGATCTTGGACTTATCAACCAGGCTCAGGAGGTAAACCTACACTGCATCCATTTAATCTTAATCCTGGTTCTTGGATCCAAATCCTTGATCTTGGATCCTTGATCTTGGATCCTTGATCTTGGATCCTTGATCTTGGATCCTTGATCTTGGATCCTTGATCTTGGATCCTTGATCTTGAATCCTTGATCTTGGTTGGTGATGATGAGGAGAATACCCAGCAGGTAGGTGCTCTGCTGTTAGGTCAGTTCCGCAAGACAGATATATCGACCTTCTTTCTCCAGTCAGGTAAACTGCAGCTTGTGTGTAGATCTGCTCCATTTGATTCTCGAACAGTAACATCGTTGAGATCACCCTCGTTCAGGAGTACGGCGAGGGGTGGATCAGATCTGACTTATTCTAAGAGATAAATCAAGAGTTAAAATAATTAATTTCGGATGAACTTTAAAGTTCTAAGCCATTTAAGAATGTGTTTTCACCTGTTAATTGATTAGTTCATTGGTTTGGTCAGGGGTTGAAACAAAAGAAGAGTTTTGAATTCACTTTTATAGAACATACATGGGTTTAAAGAATATGAATCTAGAAATGATCTAAAGAATGTTTTATAAACCTAGTATTGCACAACCTGGAGCGATATGACTGAAAAGTGCAGTTATCCTAGCCCATTGTGGTCTGAAATATATAGATTTATAATGATTTTATAGTAAAAGGTTATTCCAGCTTTTTAATATTTGGACGATATAAAAGGCTATTTATACTTGAAGATACAAAACTTTTAAAGCTGGAGTTATAAAATTAAATTTACTTTAGTTTAGGTGTCACTTAAATTCTCAGTTTATTTTTAGAATACAATTGTATATATGTGGACTGTGGAGTAAGAAATAAGAGTAGGGAATAGAGAGAGAGAGAACAGATCTTTATGTGCTTCTTCAGATCAGGGTTTTCGGATTCAACCTGAACATCCAGAATTAAAAGATCCATAGAGCTTACACTTTCCCCTTGGATCCGGATCCTAATCTTATGAATTTATTCAATTTTTAAATAGTGTTATTTGAATTAATTTGAATTTCATTAATTTTGTTTAATAATTCAAGGTTTGTGATATGGTGAATAGAAGAGAAGAGTCAGAAGACAAGAAAAGTGGAAAGGTATAAAACCATAGATAAATAAATAAACATAGATAACTTATGTACGCAAAATCACCAAGAATTGTACAGTCCGCGAACTCATGCTTCTAGGGGTCAAAGTGTACTTCAATGATAAGCCGGGTGGCTTGGTGTTTTAATGGATTTCATAATAGAGTGTAAAATAACTCCGGGAATGGAACTATTTG